GGTGGGTGGTGGTGGGTGGTGATGAGTGGTGGATGGTGGTGATGGGTGGTGATGGGTGGTGGGTAGTGGTGGTGGTGGTGGGTGGTGGTGTGTCATCCAGCACTGTGGAGGTACAGCGAGGGTTGATGGATCACACAAAGATGTTGATGAATCTCCCTCCCCGTGGGCGTCGAGCACGTTGCCATATCCTGGCTCGCCACGAGAACGCGACAGTTCTGCACAGCAGCATCACTACTCGGAATACTAATTTATTTATCCTGGATTAATCCGATGAGCTATGCAGATTTTTCTTCACAGATGTCCAATAAGTATAGAATCGATTGGCAGATCGCATGTGATGGGGTAAAGTGTGGGTACTGCCACCTTTTCCAGAACGTCCGGCCAGCGTGGAGTAGTAGGCCAAAAGACATTCTAGAGGCGCAGCACGCTGCTTTCCGAGGAGCTAAGCACTCTCTGATACTCTCTGTCTCTCTCTGTCTCGTAGTCTCTTTCTGTCTCTCTGTTTTTCTCTCTCGGTCTCTCTGTCTTTCTCTGTCTCTCTCTGTCTTTCTCTGTCTCTCTCGGTCTCTCTCTGTCTCTCTGGCCATGCGATCGCCACATGTCTAAACAACAACGGTCCTTCATGATTAACAGCGCGCACACACGAAGAGATCGGTGGTCTGCGTGACGTCAGTCGGCGGTCGGTCGCAAAAAAAAGAGGCGCCCGCAAAGCGAAGAGGGCGGGTTGGGAAAATGATGCAGCGGTTATATTTTAACGACCGCGATGAAAACGTCAAGAGCGTGTAAACAAACACAGACAACAACAACAAAAACATCGCCGGGATTGGCACGGACGATAAGGATCGCACCGGCGCCTTGTGTGGAGAAGCGAGAGCCAAACATGTTTTTTTTAAGGTGCCTGGGGGGAGGGGGGGGCAGGTGCTGCGTGCAGGCGATCATTTAAAGTGATCATCAGCAGCTGTGTTTGACAAGAGTCACCAACCACCGCGGCCTCCTTCCTCCCGACCGAATCCGCCGCGTCCCGCCGGCTCTCTCTCGCCCGCCCGCCCGTCGCTCCCACGCACCCGCCCGCTCCACCCGTTCGAGCGGCACTTCAAACGCGTGCGTGGACGCGTGGGTGGGTGGGTGCGTGCGTGGGTGGGTGGGTGCGTGGGTGGGTGCGTGGATGGGAGGTTGCGTGGGTGGGTGGTTGCGTGGGTGGGTGCGTGGGTGGGTGGTTGCGTGGGTGGGTGCGTGGAGGCGTGCGTGGACGCGTGGGTGGGTGGGTGCGTGCGTGCGTGGGTGCGTGGGTGGGTGCGTGGGTGGGAGGTTGCGTGGGTGGGTGGTTGCGTGGGTGGGTGCGTGGAGGCGTGGGTGGATGCGTGGGTGGGTACGTGGGTGGGTGGGTGCGTGGGTGGATAGGTGGGTGGGTGGTTGCGTAGGTGGGTGGTTGCGTGGGTGGGTGGTTGCGTGGGTGGGTGCGTGGATGCGTGGGTGGTTGCGTGGGTGGGTGGGTGGTTGCGTGGACGCGTGGGTGCGTGGGTGGGTGGGTGGTTGCGTGGGTGGCAGCCTCAATCCGTGAGCGCTGATCGAGGAGACCGGTTAGGGAGCTCCTCCATTACTCACCGCCTCCAAACTTCCCCGCTGAGCGCGCGGGCGCTCTCACGGCCAGAGCGCTCAACGCTGCAGCGGCATGGAGCTCACGGATTTGCCTCGACTGGATTGCTCGGGCCACGTGAAGCTCGCGAGCGACAGGAGACATCCACGCGCGTGGATTTTTTGTTTTGTTTAGCCCTGGACCGGGCAGCCGCGCGCAATGCCCTGAAGTTGAATCGCCGCTCAAGTTGATGTGCATCCGAACATCGATTCCACCAACTTGTGTCATTTTCCGGTGAATTCGGCTTGAGATCAATGTTCGGCTGACTGCTTCCTGATTCATCTCCACGACCGGCTCGTTCATTGAGAGAATTACTGATTGTCTGGTGGCCCAATCCATTCCTCAATCTGCGTTTGAGTCGAGGTCGCCGGTTCGATATATTCTTGGATCACCGTTTGAATAGAGACACTCGCCCCAAGATGACCACCGTCTATAGAGCCCCATGGAGATGAGTGTACGTGTGATTTGAATGAGGTAGGGTCGTGTGTGTGTGTCCTAGGGGAGCGGTGGTGTAGTGGTTAGCGCGCTGCGCTATGAACCCAGCGACCAGAATTCGATTCCCGCTCATGGCCAACACGAATGACGATTATCTGAACCGGTCCCTGGGCCTCTCCTATGTCGACTCAGCCTCAAATGAGTACCTGTTGCGGTGTGTAAACATCGCCACCGGGGAGACAAAGGCGGCCGGGCGTGGTGTTGGCCACCCACCCTCTCGCATGCCGTGCCGGCCTTTTAGGTGCAACTCGCTAACAGCACTTGCCCCAACAGTCTGTTAAGGCTACACGGGGGATCTTTGCTTTGCTTTGTCTTGCTTTCGTATGCGGCCTCCAATGCCCTTTATATAACAGAGAGGACGTAACACAAATTCGACAGCGCCGGGTTCGCGAACGAAGCGACCCCCTTTCTTGTCGTCTTCCACGCTTTGCATCCGCGCCGCCGCGAAATGCCACCGTCACCCCTCGGCACATCCCACCCACCCAGCGCCTGCCCCCGTGGCTGCACGCGGCGCAATGAATGAAGAGTGCAGCAACAGCAGCAGACAGAGAGAGAGAGAGGAGGGGCAGAGAGAGAGTCGTCGTCGTCACGATGACCGCGTTATATTGATCGAGCGATAACGCGCGTGGAATCGTGCGGCGACGAACGATTTACGATGTGCGCGAATCGTATGATCGTGTTACATTGGCGGGCGCGCTACGGTGGGCATCGCATCGCGTGATGAACTGGGCGACCTGCGATCTATCCGCGGCCACGGCCAACACCTGGGCGAGTGGGTATCCGAACCAAATCCTGGACAGCTCCCGCCACATCACCTATCCGCCCTGATCAGCGTGGTGATGAAGTATGATCAAACGAAGCACCACCCCCTCCCCCCACTGACCGAAAGGACAAACGCTTTTGTTACATTTAGGCTACGGGACAGAACAAACACGGAGCGATACAAGTAGAAAGAGCCATGGTGGCTAGGATGTGTTAACTGCCTCGCCTGGTCGACAGGAGGTCGTGGGTTCGATCCCGACCTTGACGATGCCTGCTGCTGTATATTTGGAGTATGCGTGTCTCTCTCCCTGTGGTAGCGTGGAATTTTCTCCGGGTCCTCCGGTTTTCCCCCTCCACATTTAGAATTCGACATCAAGCGTTTAAGAGCATTTGGCCGATATACATGTCCACGTGACAAGCCACTCCGTTGAGCTATCATTTGTGATGACCAGGTCGCTTTGGAAAAACAGAGTTCCGAAACAGCTGAGTGGGGCATTGCCCTGGTCACATAGACAACAACAACAGCAGCAGACCCTGGGTCAGGCCCGGAACACGCTGCTGCTGCTGCTGGCAGGACGATGTCGCTCGGCTGGCCTGGGAACGCCTGGGAATCACCCAGGAAGAGCTAGGGTTTGTGTATAGTGTAGTGTATAGTAGTGTATAGTGTAGTAGTGTATAGTAGTGTATAGTGAAGTAGTGTATAGTTTAGTAGTGTATAGTGTAGTGTATAGTGTAGTGTACAGTGTAGTGTATAGTGTAGTAGTGTATAGTGTAGTAGTGTATAGTGTAGTGTATAGTGTAGTGTACAGTGTAGTGTATAGTGTAGTAGTGTATAGTAGTGTATAGTGTAGTAGTGTATAGTGTAGTGTATAGTGTAGTGTAGAGTGTAGTGTATAGTGTAGGGTATAGTGTAGCTTATAGTGTAGTGTATAGTGTAGGGTATAGTCGTGTATAGTGTAGTAGTGTATAGTGTAGTGTATAGTGTAGGGTATAGTAGTGTATAGTGTAGTAGTGTATAGTGTAGGGTATAGTCGTGTATAGTGTAGTAGTGTATAGTGTAGTAGTGTATAGTGTAGTGTATAGTGTAGTGTATAGTAGTGTATAGTGTAGTGTATAGTGTAGTGTATAGTGTAGTGTATAGTGTAGTAGTGTATAGTAGTGTAGTAGTGTATAGTGTAGTAGTGTATAGTGGAGTGTATAGTGTAGTAGTGTATAGTGTAGTAGCGTATAGTGTAGTAGTGTATAGTGTAATGTACAGTGTAGTGTATAGTGTAGTAGTGTATAGTGTAGTAGTGTATAGTGTAGTAGTGTATAGTGTAGTGTATAGTGTAGTGTACAGTGTAGTGTATAGTGTAGTGTATAGTAATTTAGTGCTGGAGTCTGTCGCCAGGGAGAGGGAGGTGTGGACCGCCGCTACTCAACACGCTGCCGTCCGCGACCCTCACCGGGACAAGCGAACTGAGAAACGAACGGACGAACGAAGTTTCAAGTTGAGTTCAGACCACCCAATTCATGGAATCGCCCAAACAACAAAGAGGCTATTGCCGCTGCCACGTGGCCGGCACATCGGTGTGGGGGGGGGGAGCTGCTGTACGTCAGCGTCGGGGATGTTTACGCTGGGAGGGCGGAGGGCGTAAACAACGGCGAGTGTTTATTTCCTCCCGTTGCTGCGGTGCTGCTTTCTGTCACGTGGCACAACGCCAGTGATTTGCATTGATCATCATCAGCAGCAGCATCGTCGGGTTTTTTTTTTAATCAGACGTAGGCCCTATCGTGGCTGATGATATCTGCAGCAGCCCCCCCCGCTTCTCAAGTAATTCAAGCGCACTTATTATTTCCTGAACAGTCAGACGTAGCAAGGGCAATTGGAAAACAAAATAGGTCATCGCACGCCGAACGCACCTGATGATTGGTACACTTAGAAACGCGTGCTGCGGTCGTGGTAGGCGGAGATGAAGTGAGAAGTGGTTTCGAAAAGTGCGGCCGGTTAACCCCGGGGGGTGCCGAGTAGGCAGCCGGCAGGGGGCTGGGTAGGGGCTGGGTAGGGGCTGGGTAGGGGCTGGGTAGGGGCTGGGAGGGGGCTGGGAGGCGCTGGGTCGGTACTCACAGCTGCATGACGAGATAGAGGTGTGATGGACTCTCGTAAATATCTTCCAGCGACACGATGTTCTCATGCTTCAGCCTGGTGATCGCACGCGTGCAGGCAAGGGCACACACACGCACACACACGCACACACGCGCACACACACGCACACACACACGCACACACACGGGCATTTACACGCACACACACGCACACACAGGCACACACACGGGCATTTACACGCATGCACGGACACAGTCAAAGGCACAAAAGACAAAGACAGGGCAAAGTGATGATAGCGAGCACCAGTGAAGGAGCGAACGACACGCGATGAGGTGGTGTGGCGAACACCACGCCCGGCCGCCTTTGTCTCCCAGTGGCGATATTGGCACACCACACCCGGTACTCATTTAAGGCTGAGTCGACATAGGGGAGGCCCAAGACCGGTTCAGATAATCGTCACCGGTGTTGGTCGTGAGTGGGAACCGAACTCGGGTCGCCGGGTTCGTATCGCAGCGTAGCGCTATGCATTGTACAACCGCTCGGACAAATATATATACACACACAGCCCCACACACACAGACACACACAGACACACACACAGAGACACACACACACACAGACACACACACAGACACACACACACAGACACACACACAGACACACACACAGACACACACACAGACACACACACAGACACACACACACAGACACACACACACAGACACACACACACAGCCCCACACACACAGACACACACACAGACACACAGACACACACACACAGACACACACATAGAGACGCACGTTTGGATGGACATTCCAAGTTTAGCTGTGCACTAACAGAATACCTTGATTGCAGCAGTGGTGAGTGTGTGGAGGGGAGTAGAGTGAGATGAGAGGGGAAGAGGTAGGAGAGTGAGTGGAGGGGAGTAGAGTGAGATGAGAGGGGAGAGGCAGGAGAGTGCGTAGGAGGGGAGTGGAGGGAGATGAGAGGGGAGAGGTAGGAGAGTGTGTGGAGGGGAGTAGAGTGAGATGAGAGGGGAGAGGTAGGGGAGTGCGTGGAGGGGAGTAGAGTGAGATGAGAGGGGAGAGGCAGGAGAGTGCGTGGAGGGGAGTAGAGTGAGATGAGAGGGGAGAGGCAGGAGAGTGCGTGGAGGGGAGTAGAGTGAGACGAGAGGGGAGAGGTAGGGGAGTGCGTGGAGGGGAGTAGAGTGAGATGAAAGGGGAGAGGCAGGAGAGTGAGTGGAGGGGAGTAGAGTGAGATGAAAGGGGAGAGGCAGGAGAGTGCGTGGAGGGGAGTAGAGTGAGATGAGAGGGGAGAGGCAGGAGAGTGCGTGGAGGGGAGTAGAGTGAGATGAGAGGGGAGAGGCAGGAGAGTGCGTGGAGGGGAGTAGAGTGAGAGGGGATGGGAGAGGCAGGAGAGTGCGTGGAGGGGAGTAGAGTGAGAGGGGAGAGGTAGGTGGGGACAAGCTCATGGGTCATCGTCAAGGCACCTTACAAATGAATGTAACGGGCACCATGAAGCCTGGCCTGTCGACGCGCTCCACTACGTCGGCTCTTTTGTAAATCCCAAGTCTCGTTGCCGAGCGCCGCCCGGAACCCTGGCACCCATGAGCCGGCAAACGGCGCATCGATCCGACAACGATTTGTGAGCGACCTTACACTTGCCCGGGGTTTAGTAACAGTCGATAATCCGTGCAGCTCTGCACGAACCTCCGGCACGCGTACACCCCCCCCCACGTCCCTCCCGGGAGACGGGACGGGAACACGGGGATCTCAGCCCACAGGGAGGGCGAGCGACGCTCCGTGCACTCGTTCTCTTAACGAGTAGAGCGCTCGTGAATCTTTTTGGTGAAAAAAAATACATGATATAATAATAATGAAAGTAAAACCAACAATGAACTTTAACCGCGCCGAAGCTAAACATAATGGGACGAAGAAAGGGTGAAAACAAATATAATCGTCAAACGCGGCGGCGTTTCTGCAACGCGTATTGGTGCTAATTGCGCGGCGTCTAAATATACACGCGGATGTTTGGTGCCGGGCACGCGCTCGCGGTACGAGTCCCAGGCCGTGAGGTCGACGCGTCTCCGGTTAATTTTAGACTTTTCAATTAAATTTACGGGCAAATGAACGCGCGCAACCACAACAACAACAAATGGGGAGAATGTGGGTTTTTTTTTCAATTGGTAAAAATCGGGAGTGCAATTGTGGGATATACTTTGAATTAAAATAAGAAGGCAGAGATTAGAAGGTGGCCGACCGGCTGGCTCGGGAGTCGAGTCGGGGAGACGCTGAGGCCCTGGGTTTGAATCGGGATTGTAAAGTGTCGTGAGTTGACGGTCTAAGCCCAGTCTCCAAAGACCGCACGTAAAATCTCAACACATTAAACATGGGTTGTCGATTAATTTATCTAAAAAAAAACTATCCAGATGAAATTGTATTTCTATCTGTACAGCAGCAGGGCATGTGGGGAACTCCAGCACTCCTCGTGTGGATAACACATTCCTGCGGAGGGAGCTGGTAGGAACGTTGGGTTGCTCGGTCAATGGCCTGCAGGGTCAACGGCGGCGTGGTGTATTCCGCAAATATGGCTGACTGTGAGGGCGGGCACAAGCCGGCGTGAGTAGGTTAAACGTTGAGTTTTATAAGGGCACCACGGGGTGACCAGCCCCTCCCCACCCAGCTCCACCCCTCCCACCCCCCACCTCCCCACCCAGCCCCTCCCCACCCTCCCCTCCCCACCCAGCCCCTCCCTGCACAACGGACGGACGGGCACAATAATCCCCTGTGTGCTGGTGTAACCAGGAGGTTCCGACCAGTACAAGGTGATTTTAAGAGCTCTCAGAATCAGCTTCCTGTGGTATCCCCTTGTGTTGGGCCATTCTTGAACACGCGGGGTGATGCATTTGTTGCTGCAAGAGTTGTGAAACCGCACACTTCGCTTCATGGCGGGATGCCGACAGAACAGTTGGAATAACACTTGGAAAATAGGCAAGGAAGTGTGAAGGAATTCAGGATCGCGAAGGAGTCGCACTCAATCCCTACGCCACAGCACCGGTGTGTGACCTCCACCCTGACACGCCAGAATCGATGCGGCAAATCGCGGTGCCTCCATGTCTACGCGAGTTTCCTTGCCTCTTTTTACTCTTATATAATAGTTCTGAATAACACGCAAAACTAATTAGAATGTATAAAATACATCGACACAGGTAGGAGCATCTCAAAACATTGGACTGTTGTAACCATGAGAACACAACGAATTATACATAAATATAAAGATCCCCCCCTATAGCCTTTCAAATACGGTTAGGGCAAGGGCTGTTAGCGAGTGCCTATGAAGGTCGGTACAGTACACAAGGCGGTGGGTGGCCAGCACCACGCCCGGCCGCCTTTGTCTCCCCAGTGGCGATATTTACACACCGTACCAGGTGCTCATTTGAGGCTGAGTCAACCTAGGGGAGGCCCAGAACCGATTCAAATATACGCCACTGTTATTGGTCGTGAGCGGGAATCGAACTCGGTTTTGCGTGTTATTCATTTCCGGCTTAACTCGGTTAGCCGGGTTCGAAGGCGCAGTGCGCTAACCATTGCGCCACCGTTCCCCACACATTATACACACACACACAATTAAAGAAACATGAGCAGGTGCGTGACACGCTGCACGATCCGTCTCCGCCACCGCTACCCGCTGTCGTAACTTCACTCCCTGCACAACTTTGATTCGCGCGGTTGGCTACGTCCGGCTGGTGCGAAAAGAGTTCAACAAGCACACAAACAACGCGCGGACCTGTGTTCTGTACTCGCGGTTACCGCACGTACCCCTCTCGTGTGAAAGATGCCTACAACTCGATGGATGCTCTCCCGTTTAGATGACGTTCCACTGAAATATATTGAATACGTTTTATATATATAAAACTTTTAATTTCGCGGGGGAAGACGGAACTTTCTATAAACTAAACCATAAACTATTTTTAATAATTTTATCAGGTAAGGCCCACTGCGCTGTAAAGCTGTTTTTTTTTCAAAAGCGACCTGGACACAAATGATAGCTCAACAAAGTGGCTTATCAATTTGCGGAAATGTATTGCAACTAAATACTCTAAACGCGTGAAGTTGATTCTGAATGTGGAGGGGGGAAACCGGAGGACCCGGAGGAAAAGAGAGAACCACACAAACTCCAAATATACAGGCGACATGGGTCGATATGGAACCCACGGCCTCCTGCGTACCAGGCAAGGTAGTTAACATCTCCTCGCCACCGTGGCTCCCATTGGCGATGGATGGCAGATGCAGCCCAAGCGCTGGGCTCATGGGCCCGAGGTTTGACACTGGCCGAGTCGCCATGCGCCTCGCTCACCCTACTCGGCTGGGGAGCCGGGCTTTGATTCAGCCAGACGTGCCCGAGGACATCACAGCATCTCTGCACAAAGCACGGCACTCACGTTGCCACCTGCCTGGGTTTTTCCTAGGACGACCTCACGTTGCGGTGACCGCTTTACCGGGAAACCCCGTGGCCGTTCACAACAGTCCCGGGTTGTGTAAGAACGCGCCCGCTCGCGGGAATGCATTCACATGCAGCTCAAACCCGCGGGCGGCACTCTGAGACATTCTTCTTCTGCCTCCCATGATATGTGATCCGTTTTACTGTAGCTCGGAGGCGACGACCCAACGGCACCACCACATCCAGTATACCACCTCGCCACGGCTACGAGTTACATGCCGGCCGACGGCATTCTCCCAGCGAAACATGAAGTTAGAAATTGAACTTTGCTCGGGGTCACGGGCGAACCGGGAGGTTGGAGGCGAGGGGGGGCGATGGGGAGTGGAGGGGGTGATGGGTGGGGGGAAGGGATTAACATAACAGCCAGGAGCCCATGGAGAGACAAAACCCATCGCAACAGACAAACAACAACTACAAAAACAATAACTACAAAAACACGCCGCAGATAAACGCGCAGGTGGCACCCGTCTCCTCGACACGGGCAAGTGGCCTTGGCCTGCTGGAGGCTGAATGAGAAAGTTGTAAACAGCGTGGGACGCACGGTGGCCAAGGACTCCGGAGGCTGCCCCGTCACGAGCACACTCGTGTCGCGCTGCGGGCGGGTGCGCCCTTTGTGAAACTGAAAACTCCCCGCGTCCCACCCACCCCAAAACCCACACCACCCCCACCCCCGTCTCGGCGGTGAATAATGGATGGCCCTCTGTTGGAACGACAGTAGCCTCCCTGCAACAACCGGGGCCCCAATTGTCGCGTTCGTTTCCAGGGGCGCAAGGGGCCGGAGGCGAGCATCGGTCGAGGCTGCGCGCTCGCAGCTGTCGAGCGAGTGGGAGCGCGCAAGAGGATGAAGAGGTGGGGAGGGATGGGGGGAGGATGAAGAGGTAGGAGAGAGGTGGGGGGGGGGGGCGAGGGGAGGATGTGGTTGATTGAGTGTTGGAGGCGGAGGAGGAGAATATGGGTGTTGATAATGAAGAGGAAAAAGTGTAGGAAGGAGGAGATGAGGAGGTGGGGTGGAGGAGCAGGTCGAGGAGAAAGAAGGAAGATGGGTAGGCGAGGAGGTAGTGGAGGCGACGGAGGAAGGGAAGAGAGGCTAAGGAAGATGTTGTTTGTTATTTAATCCCGGCGCGATAGGGATGGTGGTGGGGAGGGCTTTGGGCCATCGCTCGCTGCCATCGCGGGGGGCCGTGACGGAGGAGCGGCGCTACGGGGGGGGGGGGGGGGGGGGCTCAGGCTGCGTGACGAGATGAGATCGCAGCATCGGGCCCAGCCCTAAACACAGGGGACCCAATCCCCTGGGACGCGATACATTATAAACTACATTATAAACTACCTTATAAACTACATTATAAACTACATCGCGTCTTCTGGGCAGTCTGAATGACACTACGCACCCGCTGTGTATGCTGTATCCCTGCCCCGAGATGTGTCGTCACTCCGACAACTTTGTTTCCGACTGGTGTGCATCCGGCGTCGGCAGTGGTGTTGGTGGCGGCAGAGGTAGCGATGGTGGTTGCTGTGGTGATGGCGGTGGTGGTGGCAGTGGTGGTGGCTGCGGTGGCGGTGGTGGTGGCCGTGGCCGTGGTGGTGGTGGCGATGGTGGTGGTGGCGACGATGGTGGTGGTGGCGGCGATGGTGGTGGCCGTGGTGGTGGTGGCGGTGCTGGTGGTGGTGGTGGCGATGGTGGTGGTGGCGGTGGTGGTGGTGGCGATGGTGGTGGTGGCCATGGTGGTGGTGGTGACCGTGGTGGTGGCCGTGGTGGTGGTGGCGGATGCTGCTGGTGGTGTCGCTGCGTGTGTGCGTGCCGCACTTGCGCAGCACGGCGATCTCGTTCTCGATGCTGCTCTCGCGCCCGCGCAGCGCCTGCTTGGTGATGCACTTGACAGCGAAGAGGCTCCCGGACGAGCGGACCTCCGCCAGCACCACCTCGGAGAAGGCGCCACTGCCAAGGAACGGTGGGGGGAGGGAGGGGAGAGGGGGGGCACACGGAGAGACGCGGTTCAATCCTGGGGGGAGGGTAGGACGACTCGAGATGGGAGACGTCGCCTCCCACGAGAAGCTGACGCTCGTCAGAGCCGCGACGAGCGGCGTCGCTCTCGAGTCGAGAGTGTGCAGGCGATGCAGCTGCACTGGGGAGCTGCGGGCTGGAGGAGTCGAGCCGGCGGGCTATGAATGGGTGGATGGCGGACAAGAGGCCCCGATTCACGTCTTGAAGCATGCGGGGCCCATATCACTCACTGGCACGCCACTCACGGCACGCCACTCACTGGCACGCTTTGCCTTTGACCCCGGGCGCGACCACGACCAACCCTCACACGGCACAGACTCTCAGCCTTGTCCACACCAAGCGACCACGGTCAATTAGACAATCACCGTGACCACACGAGTCAACCGCGCTCTAGCCCTGGCCCTAACCACACTCAGGTCTGGTTGGTTCGGATGATTAGGGGTCAGGGTTCGGGTCTGGCCAGGGAGAATTGTTAAGGTGAGGTCTAAGGCTTTGGTCAATGTCTGGTTATCATGATCAGGGTTACGGAGTAGGGTTAAAAAAAAGAGTCGAGTAATTATGATTGTCGCAATGAGCTGTGCGCGTCACTCGTGGTGGCGCTCGCGTCATTATTGCCGCGTCTCGTTTAGAGCTCGTGCGAGGTCGCCGCGCTGTCGCGAGGGAGAGAGAGAGAGGAGGGAGAGAGAGAAAAAGCGATACAAAAATAACAAATCCCCCGCGCGTTATTCAAGGAAACGGCCGTCGGCCCAGCGGCTCCGCGCTCCTCTCTCGCGCGCCGCGCTTAAGAAAAAAAGGGGGGTGGGGTGGGTGTTACATAAAGCAAAGCATTAAAAAAAACGAAATGATGAACGAAGCAAAGTGGCGACTACACCGAGCATCTTCTTGTTTACACTGATCAGTAAAAATAAAAGAGAGAGTGAGCGATGCGCACGCAGGGAGCAGAATCTGCGCGTCGCGGGGGAAAAGACACCACGCCAAGCTTCTCGTCTGCGCCCACGCGGACCTGACGTCGAAGGTTTTTAATTCGATGCGATTAATATTACGTCACAGGGCTGGAGCCGCGTCACGTGGCGTGGTCTGCATTGCGAGGCAGCTGCCGGTACCTTCCCTCTCTCGTTCACTCGCTCTCTCTCCAGGATGGGGAGAGAGAGGGGCGACCGCCCTCGTCAACGAGCTGCACGCAGAGCAAATGTCCTCGTGCTGTTTCCGGCGCACTCCGTTAATTTCGGAGCAAGATTCTCTATAAATTAATCGGCGGCTCCTTCAAATGGGCAATGCCTGAGTCATTTGACACTGTTCACGATTACCACCCACATATGGCTATATATATTATTGACCTTGTGACGCATTCTTTGTCTGTCTCTCTCTCTCTCGTGGCTCCGGAAAGTAAAAGCCAAGACAAAGTTTGCAGCGGTGAATAGTTTCAATTAAAAATGGGAGGGGGGGGGGGGGCGGGGGTATGCAGTGGCTCTGCGTGGCAGGCATCACGAATGGAGAGCCGGAAGGCCTCGTCACCTGCTTTTGATTCCTCCTCAATCCGGCTCCCTCCGCATCAAGCAACCCCTCCCGCCCCCCTTACAACTCATCTCCTCCCCTTCTCCCTGCTGTCCCAGTGGCGTTGCAACGACGTGATCAGCTGGGTTTGGAAGAGGATGAGGAGGCGGCCAGCCGGGGGTACTGTGGTGATTTGCTCATTTCCCACGACAAGACTGCATCCTGCTGCTGCTGCTCATCCTCCGCCTCCTTCAAGATGCAAGACATCGACTCCCCCACCACGTCACACGTCAAAGAGGCCGTCCATAAATGACGTCACGCGATTTTTGACGATTTTTGACCCCCCCCCCCTTCGTCACACGGCGTCACGAAAAGTCAGACCCCCCCTAAAATATGACGTCACAAAGCTCTGCCTCCCCCCGCCCCCCAAAAATGAAACATGCTTCAAATCGTTTTAAACTATTGTCATTGTAGTGCGTATTTAATGTGGCGCTGCACTATGATGTTGTAGGAGAAAACATTTATCAAAAAGTATATTTAATTAAGTAGAACGTGTTGTCTATATTTATTTAAAGTTGCGCATTTTGATATGACGTCACATTTCTCACCCCCCCCCTCGTCACACATCGTCACAAATGTCTGACCCCCCCTCTCCCCCTAGGTGCGTGACGTCATTTATGGACGGCCCCAAAGCCGAGAGGCACGCATGCATATAGGAATGCGCGCGTGCAAGCACGTACACAAAGACAAAGATCCCCCATGTAGCATTACCAGACGGTTGGGGCAAGTGCACGGCACAAGAAAGGGTCGTGTAGCCAGCACAACGCCACACCAGGTACTCATTAACCGCTGAGTAGACCTAGGGGAGGCTCAGGACCAGTTCAGATATTCGTCAACCGATGTTGTCTGCGAGCGGGAATCGAACTTGGGTGGCCGAGATACACAAAGACAAAGGTCCCTCCCCCCCAGTGTAGCCTTTAACAGACTGTTGGGGCAAGGTGCTGTTAGCGAGCAGCACCCTACGAAGGCGGCCAGCGGCACCACGCCCGGCCGCCTTTGTCTCCCGAGCGGCGATGCTCACGCGCGCGCGCACGACACGTCCGCCCACTCGCAACCTCGCACAGCAACCACGTGCGTGCGCATGTGTCGGTTGCCATGGCAGCGCTCCGGCTGCGTCACCGGTCCAGGTGACAACAGCCCGGGTGACGCGGGGACTACCGCGCGCGCACTGGCACCTCCCACTCACTGGCACCACTCACACACACTGGCACCACTCACACACTGGCACCACTCACACACTGGCACCACCCACACACACTGGCACCACTCACACACTGGCACCACTCACACACTGGCACCACTCACACACTGGCACCGCCCACTCACTGGCACCACTCACACACACTGGCACCACTCACACACTGGCACCACTCACACACTGGCACCACTCACACACTGGCACCGCCCACTCACTGGCACCACTCACACACACTGGCACCACTCACACACTGGCACCGCCCACTCACACTGGCACCACCCACACACTGGCACCACTCACACACTGGCACCACCCACACACACTGGCACCACTCACACACTGGCACCACTCACACACTGGCACCGCCCACTCACTGGCACCACTCACACACACTGGCACCACTCACACACTGGCACCGCCCACTCACACTGGCACCACCCACACACTGGCACCACTCACACACTGGCACCACCCACACACACTGGCACCACTCACACACTGGCACCACTCACACACACTGGCACCACCCACACACTGGCACCACTCACACACTGGCACCACTCACACACTGGCACCGCCCACTCACTGGCACCACTCACACACACTGGCACCACTCACACACTGGCACCGCCCACTCACACTGGCACCACCCACACACTGGCACCACTCACACACTGGCACCACCCACACACACTGGCACCACTCACACACTGGCACCACTCACACACACTGGCACCACCCACACACTGGCACCACTCACACACTGGCACCACTCACACACTGGCACCGCCCACTCACTGGCACCACTCACACACACTGGCACCACTCACACACTGGCACCGCCCACTCACACTGGCACCACCCACACACTGGCACCACTCACACACTGGCACCACCCACACACACTGGCACCACTCACACACTGGCACCACTCACACACACTGGCACCACCCACACACTGGCACCACTCACACACACTGGCACCACCCACACACTGGCACCACTCACACACTGGCACCACCCACACACACTGGCACCACTCACACACTGGCACCACTCACACACTGGCACCACTCACACACTGGCACCACCCACTCACTGGCACCACTCACACACTGGCACCACTCACACACTGGCACCACTCACACACTGGCACCACCCACACACACTGCACCACTCACACACTGGCACCACCCACACAACTGGCACCACCCACACACTGGCACCACTCCACACACACTGGCACCACCTCAACACCAACTGGCACCACCCACCACACTGGCACCACTCACACACGGCACCACTCACACACGGCACACCCACACACAATGGCAACATCACCACACTGGCACCACTCACACACACTGGCACCACCCACACACTGGCACCACTCACACACTGGCACCACCCACCCACTGGCACCACTCACACACTGGCACCACCCAACCACTGGCACCAATCACACACTGGCACCACTCACACACTGGCACCACTCACACACTGGCACCCCCACACACTGGCACCACTCACACACTGGCACCACCCACACACTGGCACCACTCACACACTGGCACCACCCACACACTGGCACCACTCACACACTGGCACCACCCACACACACTGGCACCACTCACACACTGGCACCACTCACACACTGGCACCACCCACACACACTGGCACCACTCACACACTGGCACCACACACACACTGGCACCACTCACACACTGGCACCACTCACACACTGGCACCACCCACACACACTGGCACCACCCACACACACTGGCACCACTCACACACTGGCACCACACACACACTGGCACCACACACACACTGGCACCACTCACACACTGGCACCACTCACACACTGGCACCACCCACACACACTGGCACCACCCACACACACTGGCACCACTCACACACTGGCACCACACACACACTGGCACCACCCACACACACTGACACCACTCACACACACTGGCACCACACACACACTGGCACCACTCACACACTGGCACCACGAACTCATGGGCCCCACGTACACACGGGACCCACTGACACGTGGTGCACGGAGCTCGCTTCCACATGATATACAACGTCTACAAAGATAAAGATTCGCCGTTCAGCTTTTTGGGGCAAGTGCTGTTGGCGAGTAGCACCTAGAAGACCGGCACGGCACACGAGG